GTGCTGCGCTCGGGGGGTGCATAGGCGCGATTAAATATTAACGCTGTGCTAATAAAAATTAAATTTTCAAGCGCTTGAGAAGCTGTAAATAGGAAATATTGCTGCGGGACTTTTTTTTCTTTTTTTTTTTTCTTTTTTTTTTCTGGAGGGGAAAAAAAAATAACACGGAAGAGGGGGAAAGAAATACAGCCCAAAAGTTAGCATCATCCTCTCGGTGACTTGCTAATCGCATCTTTGCGCTGACCACTACGCCTCCGAACATGTGTCACTTGGTGGAGCAAGAGCGAGCGCTGCTCACCTCGCAGGGCTCCACGGGTCCTATTGTGTTTAAAACTAGCCTTTATTTGCACACCTTCTTCTATATCAAAGGTTATTGCGCTTTTACGGGGGGAATAATCTGCCCTGCCTTTCTACCTGGGCAGCAGCTGCTAACGTGTGAACTCCAGCTACTAAAGGGATAAGTCATGGCCTGGCGCTGCGCGTGCCACTCGACCCCAGTGTGGTGGCCAACTAAAACAAATATTTTATATCAGTTCATATATAACTCTTAATGGGCAGGAGTATGCGTCTTTAATAGCCTGTCTCCAATCTTTGGACGTGATGTAAATATATATCTACGTAAAACTTAAATCCAGTGACCAGTTTCACTTGGCTCAAGTCTGCAACCCGAGTGTCAAGGAAAAATAATTTAAGTCTCTGTATTGGGGATGGTAAGAAGTGTTGGGGGGAAGAAAGGGATGTGTTACTGACGGGACGTCGCTTCAGGAGATGGTGGTGTGTGCACATATAAATACGTGCACACCGTATATGTACGCACACATATATGTGTTCATCTGTACATGCATACACTTGTTATTTTTTCCCTTTTTCTCTCTTCCCTACAGAGTCAAGATGGCTAAAGGCGATCCGAAGAAGCCCAAGGGCAAGATGTCTGCCTATGCCTTCTTTGTGCAGACGTGCCGTGAGGAACATAAGAAAAAGAACCCAGAGGTTCCAGTCAACTTTGCAGAGTTTTCCAAGAAGTGCTCGGAGAGGTGGAAGGTACCTTAATTTGTGACTTCCTGAAGGGATAGCTTCTTACCGTATCTGCTAGGATGACGTGCGTGTGTCCAAACACGAAGGGAGCCGGTGCTGTTTTGGTCTGTGTGCCGCTCTTGGCAAGGCGTCCCGGCCATTGATTGGGTGCTGCTGACTCCTGTAACGAGCCGGAAGGCTTCAGCCCAGGGTATCTGCCCGTTCAGGTGCTTCCACTACAGCCTGGCCTTTTTTCCTGTTCCCAAGCAGCACCCTTCAGCAGCTCCCTCCCCTCCAGGCCTGTGTCCTCGAGGAGGACTCTGGCTGCGCTTGTCCCGATCCCGTTGCTTCCCTTTTGCCGAGTATGCCAGCTGTGGCTGCGGTCCCCGGTGCAGGACCTTTGTCCCCAAGGTGGTCCAGTTAGAAAACAAACAAATTCTGAAACTCCCCTATCGAGTTGGTATGTGTTGGCTTGTTTACTTAAAGTTTGCCAGCTATTGAACAGTTGGGTAATCACAGGTTTGGTGTCTTGTTTTTTGGTTTTTTAGACCATGTCAAGCAAGGAGAAGGCTAAATTTGATGAAATGGCAAAGGCTGATAAGGTACGATATGATAGAGAAATGAAGGACTATGGACCAGCTAAGGGTGGCAAGAAGAAGAAGGACCCCAATGCCCCAAAACGACCACCGTAAGTAACTTTTGAGGCGTTAAATGCACAAGTATTTTGGTTTGTTTTCACACCCTGTAACACAGCTGATAGGTTTCCTTAAAGGAAGTGGATGGGGCATAGCATGTTGGTATAGCAGTATTGGTAATATTCATAGCTTACTGATACTGTCCCCTAAATCTTTTGGGCAGCTTGTAATTTTGAGCACGTAGAACGCTAACAGGAATTGCCAGTACTTGGTACCCTTAAACTCATAGTGATGGAAGACGTGGAAATAACTGGGTCACAGTGAGACTTGTGCATCAAAGATGAAATTGGATGGCGGGGATAGACAACACTTGATTCAAAACAGCATTGGGTGAAGGCTGCAGGTCTGGGCCTCAGTAAACTCAAAGTGTGTTTGGGTTTTTGTTTGGTTTGGTGGGTTTTTTAAATGAAAAAAAAAATGTTTCTACACAGCATGTGAGTGCATGTGTGAATGTTGTGGGTGAGGGACGGGGAAGGGGGTGCTCTCTTGCATGCTGCTGCGGTGCTGACTGTCCTCTGGTGCTTCTCCCCAAGGTCTGGCTTCTTCCTCTTCTGTTCAGAGTTCCGCCCCAAGATCAAGTCCACAAACCCTGGCATATCCATCGGGGATGTAGCAAAGAAACTGGGTGAAATGTGGAACAACCTCAGTGATAGTGAAAAGCAGCCTTATAATAATAAGGCAGCTAAGCTGAAGGAGAAGTACGAGAAGGTAAGGCCGCTTTTCACTTGTGCCTCTTCCATACCGGCTCTTGCGTTGATGTGGTTCTGTAGCAGACCTAGCTAAGGTGGCCCCAGCGTAGTGAGCATCTCCAGCTTACAGACCCGTTCGCATTGCGCTGCGTGTGCTACGTAGCCGAACTTCGCGTACGTTAGGACAGAGTAGGTTAGAGAGCCGCGGGCGGATTCCAGCGAGGAGGGAGAGCTTCCCCCAGTGATGTGCAGCAGCGGCTGCTCGTGTTGCTCCAGCAAAGGGTTTGCTGTGCTGTTAAAGGAGCTTTGTCCCGTTAGCAGGAAACTTTTAAGAGAGGCTGGGTTCTCTTCTCCTCCTCAAAGAAATAACCGTGACCGCAGGGTTCAAGGCCTCCGTCGTCCGGAGGCAGCTGAGTATGCCTAGGTGTCTGCATACCTGTGTGCTGTAATGCTGGCTGTCTCCCCTTTCGGGGGTGCAGCTGTGGAGGGCCAGTCCCTTTACGTTACCGCCCGCTGCTGTACAAATGCTGTATGTGTTTGCCGCTTAGAGCAAATTAAGACATCCCCTTGACTTTGCAGGATGTTGCAGACTACAAGTCTAAAGGAAAGTTTGATGGCGCAAAGGGAGCAGCAACCAAAGCTGCTCGGAAAAAGGTAGAGGAAGAAGACGAAGAGGAGGAGGAGGATGAAGAAGAGGAGGATGAAGATGATGATGATGAATAAAACTGTACAATACTTGTCTCCATGTGAATACCATAGAGTAGGGGAAACACCATAAATGAAGCACCTCTTATTTGAGATGGTGTCTCTTGCCCTTATTAGGCTTAATTAAAAAAAAAAAAATTTGGATTCCGATCGCGTTGTAGTTTCTAAAAGTGCTCTAGAAATTGTAACTGGTTTACATGAAGTGGCCATGGGTGTAGTGAGCACCCTGAAACTGTATCAAAGTTGTACATATTTCCAAACATTTTTAAAATGAAAAGGCGCTCTAGTGTTCTCCTAACTCTGTGCACTTTGCTGTTGGTGTAACAAAGCATTTAAAAATGTTTCAAGCATTTTTTTAATTTGTAAGGTGGTGTTACTATATGGTTATTGGCTAGAAAATCCTGGGTTATAAACTGTACATATCTATAGTTTGTAAAAACTAGACAGATTCTTGTGGTACATGCTTAGAGTTATGATGCCTTAGAGGAGCAGTGATTACTTGGAAAGGCTGTACGTTCCCCGGGGTGCCATGGCCCAAAGCATGCACTGTGAGGGTAGATCTATTTACACTACAGTGGGCGTCCATTTAGCTTAAAGTTGTCTTTCTGTATATAGTGAAATAGCATTCTGCTGCCATTCTTAGTTGTGGAAGGGGGTTCAGCTGGCATGAGAAGTGTATGGATTTTTTTAGTTAAGTGCGGTAGTTTTTAAACTGAAACTGTAGACATCTCTTCATCGTCAACTAAGTGAAGAGCCAGTGCAGCAACTGAAGTTCAAAAACACTCTGTACTTAAACGAATTTGCAACGTTCTGTTTTTTTTGTATGTTTAGAATGCTGAAATGTTTTTGAAGCAAAATAAACAGTATTACATTTTTAAAACTGTTCTTGACAACACTCTAAATTTCTGGTTTAAAAGGAACTTAACAACAGCAAGAGGTTCATTTGGAAGTCTGTGGCATCCCTCAGGGCTGGTGACTTAGGAAACATTCTGACTCAAGGATTTAAAAAAAAAAAAAAAAAAAAAAAAAAAAAAAAAAAAGGTGGCCAGCCAAAACTGGCTGAATTGAAAGAGATGGCTGCTCCAGCTAATATGCAATCGTAACTGTTTATGGCTGAGTGGCATAAGATGCTATGCAAGTTTGAACTTTATTACTTGAACTTGGGAGCCTAAATGAACATTCATGACGTAATTGTTTGTTTGTGTGTGTATATAGCAGCATTCAGAGATGCAGAGAAAGGTAGGTGGCTAGGAATGAGGCTGACACCATGGAATAAGTATAAAAGCATAGTTTGGATTTTTTTTTTTCAGTTGTGTTGGGTAAATTTATAGCCCAAATGCATTGCTGTACATATTAAAATGTGCCTTTTTTGTCCTGTGTTAAACTGTTTCAGACTTGTGGTTTTTTCTAGCATCTTAATTCGTGGCAGGAGCCAGGCGCCTAGTCTAATTCCCTGCTGAAGTAGGAGCGTGGCGCAGGTATTTAGTCTGTGTCCTTTCTCTAATGACAAAAGTTTTAATAGGAATCGGGTGCTGTGAGGTGGGTTGGGGGAGCGATGCAGGTCTCTCTTTCCCATTTGGCGACCAGCTGGCTGTGGCGCAGTCTTGCCGTCTTTTCAAACCCAAGCTGGGGACGTTTTGCAGCCCTTGGAAGGGAAAGGTAACGCTTGGTCTCTAGCTGGCGACTCTAACCTCATTTTTCCTTAGCACAGAAACTGCACGAACTGGGAAAACTACAGCACCCCCTCACTACCCTTGAATTCCTTCCTTGTGCTGGCTGTAGTTAGCAGTCAGCGTTTGCTTGGCAGCGAGGAGGAGACGGGGGTGTGAGGATACTTGCATTAATAGCAGGTCAAAGTTGCGGGCTGCTGTGTACAGCCGACTTCAGAGGACAGGGTAACTCATTAGTGTAAACTGTGGGTACGGGCTGCTGCCACTGCTTCATTTGAGTCAAACTGCAGATTAATGAGGGCCAGGCTTACAGGCAGTAACTACTTCTAAGGTGGATAAAACTGCTTCGTTGCCTAATTGGGTAGCACATCTGGCTTCCTGTGACTTCTCAACAACCACAGTATCTTGGCGAAACAGTCCGATCTAGTGTTGAGATGGGCTAGAACCTGAAAGCAAAACCAAGCAAAACTTGGTATCGGATGAAGCAAGCTAATAAACTTCTCTGAAACGTAGCAACCTTTTGTTAAGGCTAAGTTACAGTTGGATCGCTTTAAAAAAATACTTCTATAATTGCTTAATTATGGCAATTCTTAGTGTCTTTAACGCACAAAAAACCGAAGTGTGAAATTGGCCCCCATTTTATGGGAAGTTGCATTTTAAAAGCCTCAATAAAGCTGCATCTGGAAAAGAAATAGGTACCTTTGTATTTGCTACCCTTTCCGCATGTCTTCTGATGCAAGGGAGAAGGTAACTGGAGATTCCAGCTCGTGGAAATTTGATGGGGAAGTGGTGGAGCAGAAGAGAAAAGCGATGGCATCATTTCAGGAGCTGTAATACTGTTTCTATTGTCTAGTTGGCAAAATCTCCCCTTAGCCACATATGGGAATTAGTGTAGATCACTGCTGTGCAAATCGAGCTTGGCTTTGAATTAACTGCTAGTGAGCTGAGCCCCTATTGATAGTATTAGCAAATAAGAACTAGAGCTGACACCTCTTTGTCTTCGTTATATTGGAAATCTATCGAGTTGCAGGGCTTGATTAAGGTTTTGGACCTTACGGTGCACTACCTATTTCTGCTCTGCAAATTTCTAAAATACGGCATGCCTCGGGGATGCTGTTCAATGCAATGCTAGTGCAGGACTCTGGAGACTCACATTTGGATATTGCAGATGTGGTGATGATGTTTCTTCCCCTAGTACTCTGCCATTGATAAATACCATAGTGCAAATGTATATAAATAGCACATGATTTCCACCCCACCACTGGTTTTTGTGTTCTGAGATGTCATCTCAAATACTGGGAACTGCTTAACTTCACCCAGCTCCATTTTTTGCTAGAACATGCTCCGAATGCTCTTTCTGTCTGCTTTGAAATGCTTGTGGTGTTTCAGAGCAGACATTTCTGCTTTGGGCTGCTGTACAGCTAAAACTTCTAGTTTGACTTTAGTCCCAAGCCAAGCAGAGTAAATATGTCTCTTATTAACTCTGTTATATGTAGAGAAAGGTAATGATAAAATAGAGTTGGGAAAAGGGAGGGGAGGGATTAGAGACTCTTCCTTGTGTGAATTTGACAGCGCTAACTGCGAGACTGCTTGCGTTCCCAAAATGCGATTTGTTGCATCCCCCCGCGCCCGCTGAAGTCAGGGTGAGGTGGGCTGTGAGGACGAGGGGCTCGGTTAAGAAAAAGGGACCGTGCTGGCACTGCAGCTGTTAAAACCCGCTTGCTGCTCTGGGGAGGCAGAGGATGGCTCGACTGGGTGGGGTGGTCCCTCCGGGCGCCTAAAACAGTGGTAGAGGTGTGAGAGCTTTTGCTCAAGGGAAGGCATCTGAGATGCCCCGCGTCGTGCAGGTCATTTCCCATGGGTGGTACCGTTTGATTCGCACTCGGGACTATCTGTAGTCTTGAGAACACGGTGGCTACCAAAACGCACCGCATCCCTCTGAAATCAAACCAGCTGGGCGGCGATGGGATGAACGGGGCTGCCCAGCTGCTCTGGGCAGGCCAGAGCCTGCATCTGCCAAAAATGAGCCCGGCAGTCCAGCAGCATGACCTGGGGAGGCAGAGGAGCGATGCTCTCCCGCTGCTCTGTAGCCTGTACATTTCTAAATTTAGCTGAAACACGGTAAATATTTGGTGTGAACTGAAAGTGAGCCCTTCGGCTAGAGGGAGGCTCCGGGGGAGGGACCGCGTTGGGAAAGCCCCGCTGCTGGTGAGGGGTTGGCTCCCCGCAAGCAGTCACCACGAAAACTGTGCGGCAGGATGGCTTCCTACGGCTCGTGTCAGTACCCTAATGCATCTGTGGGGAAGCAGTGCATTAATTTTTCTGTAATAAAATTAATTAAAAATCCTAGTCTAAATGCATATTGAATCAATTAGCAGCGAACGGCTGTGGCTCTAACAGAGGTCCATAGGAAGGTGAGAGTCTGCTTTGGGATCGTACTGGGGATAAAGGCAGAGTTGGAACTTCTCTCTTATCTGCTCCCTTTGAACGGCTGATTTTTGTGTAGTTTTATTCACTCCTAATAAACCCTGCAGGAACGGCAGCGAGGTGCGAGGGCTTCTGTTGGCTCTGGCTCCGGCAGTGGCAGGTGAATGGCTTTTCCCTTCCAGCCTCCAGCACAATTCTGGCAGCCACCTCCAGTTTATGTTTCCCCTCTGCTCGCTCAGGCTGTTGTTCCGCGGGCAGAGGAACATCCCCCAAGTAAGCCCTCTTCTGCTGCGGGTTTTGGGAAGCAGGGCTCGGACCAGGAGAAGCGGCTGGGATGGGACCCCCCCGCTGGCTTTGCTAGGGCGAGAGCAGGACGCTGCGTTTACGGCGGCGCTGCCGTTCGCTTTCTGACAAGCCCCGTGCTCCCTCTATGAATGGGAGCCCAAGCTCTCTCTCCTCTAAAAGATAACGGGAGGAACTGTGACAAGTGACATATTTATTTCTTTCCGCTAGGGCTGCACCATATTTTAATGCAATAAACTGAATTGCAAATTGCAGCTGTGCTGCAAAACAAAGTGTGCTGGAGACCCTGTTACCAAACAGTTGCTCTCTAAACATGTTTCAGCTTGCAGTGAAGGGACCGAATAACCGGCATGCCTGACGGGGGGTTTCATGCCCTACGAGGTGTCTTCATCCCTTTTCGGCAGGCTGGGCTCCGGTGGGAGCGCGGTGTGCGCCTGTCCCTGCTTGGACAACATTCGACGAGCTGTGTGCAAAGCGCTCCGCAAACATCCTCCTGATCCGTACACGCTGAAGTGGGATGTGGATGAAGGGGGCTCCTTGCCTCCGCTAACGATCTTGATTGGAGTTGCCTGCTCCTAAGAGCTCTTCCCTGAGCACCCTCCTGCACCTGGATCCCTAAATTAGGCAGGAGGAAGCAGACGCAGCCCTGCTAGAGCTGACAGCTACGTCTCCTGGGTGGTGAGTACCTCCTTCTCTTGTTCCTGGATGTGGTATAGCCTCGCAGAACCGCCTACGAAGTAGCTAAACCAGGGTCAGTCTTTCTGTTAAGCCAGAGCAGAGATGGCAAGAGACGTCCGCAGGACTGCGGAGCCTGGGTGCTGTGTGGAGCAGCAAACTGGTGCTGTGGTGGGGTTAAGACCTTTGGAGGCCAGGATGTATAAAAGCAAGTCTTCGTCTTGCTGATGTTGAGAGATGAAAATGCATTAACCGTGGTAAGGGGATGCCCATCCTATAACTGTGTCCCCTGACGCGGTTGACTTCATGTCCCTGGCTGAATCCAGCAGCCAGGAAAACCTCAGCTGGGAACTGAGCCTTGCTGTGGGACTGGGCATTTTGATGGTATTTGTGGTTGACTCTTGAGCCCCTGAGTGCAGAGTACTGCTGCTCTGGCCCCACACCTGCCACCGTGTCTTGCTTCTGGCTGGGTGCTCCCCACCAAGACACCCGAGGAGCAGGAGCAGCCCCTCCGTGCGGGTGTCGCGCGCCTGTGCGCGCTGCTGTAGCCAAGCCTGTGCAAGGAGAGAGGCAGGTAGGATGCTATGAGTGATAGAGGTGCTTTTTCTTCCCAGCCCCTCCCCTTGTAAAGCTCCCTCAGGTACTTCAAGTCAGAAAAATGCTCTTTTTTTAAAATATTAATCAAACAAGGCCTGGCTTTGTTGTTGTAAGAGCTTATTACTTGTAAGTGTTTTTAACCGCTTCTTTGTGAAGCTTAAGATTTGCTTTATGTTAGTTTAGAAAATTAATATGTGTAAGAAGGGTGAAGTGGTTTGAGGGATTGCTTGAGACCAATGCCTGCTGCTAATTACTGTGTGATGGCTCTTTTACTATGTGTTACCTGGGATGTACCTGCAATAATTCATGGTCTTGCAGAAGAGGCTTGAGAAAGCTGGAAGCAGGGGCAATTTGGTCTCCAGTTTTCTTAAAAAATAAAAAATACGTTGGTCGAGTTTTGTTCTCTTTAGCTTTAGAGCTCAGGCTGGGGATCTTCCCTGGGCTTGGCTTCTGCAGTTGTTTAAGGTATTGCTACCTGCAGTTCCTGGCGAAGGTCGCTCCCTGGTAGCAGGGAGAGCAAAAGGAAACACGCACTGGATCTTCTATTGCTTTATTTCGTTGCTTCATATAGTAACTTAATTTTCGCAAGGTGCTGGGAGGTTTTTCAAACCAAGCTCAAAGATCAAGGTGTCACTAAAAGTCTTAAAGAGAACCCTTTCTTCCAAGGGCTTGTCTGGAAGTGGAATAAAACCTGACCAAGTAGCATTAAACT